GGGACATCAAATCCGGATGCAACGTGAGTAGATGCCTGCAGGGGTCCTGCATAGTCTGGGGTTCGGAGATTGGGGCCAAGGAAGCTGGAATCTCCTTTCCTGGATTAGCAGCCCTGGCCTTCCCACCCCAACCCAATCTGAACAGCACCGGAAGGGACCTTGGAGGTCTTCTAGCCCAACCCCCTCTTCGAGCAGGAGTCCCTATGCCATTCCAGACAAGTCCATCTCTTCTTAAGAACCTCCAGGGATGGCACTGCAGGGGGATTAGGCTGCCCCCTGCTGCTTCATTGCGTGCCGGGACCAAAAGGGGAGTCGCGGGAGAAATCCCTCCGAGGATCCAGTCCCTGAGCAGGGGGGGCTCTGTAAGCAACAGCCAACTCCCTGGGATACGGCAGTAGAGAGGTATTTTTGCATGGATGACTGAGGAACACAAGGGTCAGGGTTCACTCCCCATTTCAGGGTGACTCCGGGGGCCCCCTCAGTTGCCCAGCTGCTGACGGCCGGTGGTACGTTCACGGGGTGGCCAGCTTCGTATCTGCCCGGGGCTGCAACGTTCTGCAGAAGCCCTCCGTCTTCACCCGCGTCTCTGCTTTCATCCCCTGGATCGAGCAGGTATAGCCCAGCCCCCATATCAGAGGGGTGGGTGGGCGAGTGGGGAGCATGGAGACCCCCCTCTTTCCCTCTTCGGAGCTCCCGTGTCCATCCCTTCCCCTCCAAGGGGGAGGATTTATATGACATTTACACTTGGTCTTCCAAACCGCCCTTCCCTTTTTCCACACCTCGGCCAAGTGCGGGAAACCAAACTTTGTGGGTCAGGCTGGGGTTCTTGCACGCTCACCAACCAGCGTCCCCTCACACAACTCCTTAATGCCAGATATCGGTTTTGCTTTGCAGATCATTTCCAGCTACTCCCGCTAAGCAGAAACGTGTGTGGCGTTTCCAGATTGGGCTCTGCTTGTCTACAAAAACAACGATAATAAATATCTTCCTGGCCTGCAGCACGTTGTCTTCTTCTTCTTCTTCTTCTTCTTGGTCTTGGTTGAATCCTCTCCACTGTCTTTGGGTAGGGGGACACACGCGCCACGATGAGGCTTCAATTCCCTGACCCCCTCGCCCTCTCCGACTCTGGCTGTGGATGGGTGTGCAAAGCGCGACAGAACTAAACCCAGATGATGCCTACAGAAGCTCATCGAAAGATTCAAATAAAGGGAAAACCTTTTACTAGCTTTGAAAGCGGGTCACTAGTTAGTACACCCTTTCGGTAGGAAGAGGAAGAGTATCCGTATCGGAGGTCCACGAGAAGCAAGAATAAAGGCGGGATATAAATAAATACATAAATAGGTTTTTAAGACCCCCATAAAATTCAAGGAGAAGAGAGCGTTGAATTCAGAAGGTTCATTTCTGAGCCCCGGGTAGTAATTTCTCTGCCATTCTTTTTGAATGAAAATATGTACCTGTGATAGATAGATA